CCAAGCCATGTGTATATATTCTCAATATGGCAGATGATTGAAGCTCATTGTATAACTTAGGGCCTTGTTTGTAGTTTCTTACAGGGTCATGCTGTGTGGCCCAGTCTGACCTTGAACCCTGCTATCTGCCTGCCTCAGTCCAGGAGTGCTGGAGTTACAGATGTACACCATTCATTCTTGGCCCATAGCTGCTTCTTAATGGGAAGCACAATGAACTATAATGTTGGGTGCAGTGGGAAGAAAGGGTGAGCTTACATGCCTCCCTGAGAACTGATTGTTTCCACGACCCAAGTCCATGTTCACTGAGCACCTCAGCTCATTCAAACCGAAGGATGACAAACTCCCACTGTGCCTGTCTTTGCTCTTTGCGTCACCTTTTAGATTGTTATTACTTCTCAGTATTTTATGTTATTCATGAAAGGATGAACTTGTTAAGAAAGACAATAGCTAACACAAAAGAAAATGTTTCTACAAAAATGAACATTTACCTGCACAATTGAAAATGAGAGGGTGTCCCCTACCCTAGTCTTTGATGTCCTGAGGATGAACATGACATGTTAAAGCAAGATCTCTGATAACGCCCTTCCTAGTCTGAGATAGCTTTTTGTTTTTAACTTAGAAACTAGAAGAGACCTTTAAAAACTGGTCCTGGTTGAGTCCTCAGCCTTAAGTGGATCATCTCTATCAGTTCCTGCAAGGAACAGGAAATACTGAGAAAGAGGCAGGAAAGAGAATGAAGCATGGGAGAGCCAAAGGAGTCTGAGGAGAGCTTGGGAGCACTGTCATCTGAGCACGACATGGCGCTGCACCAGGAACTCACAGCAGCTGCGGTTCGCTGTACTCACTTGGACAAGACCAGACCAGTCAGAATGCTAGTGTGGATATGGCCAGAGCTCACCAGGCCCATTTCCTAGTTGAGGGGCCATTTGCAATTGATGGTTGCTGGGAGAAGGTTGCCGTTTTTCTTTGTGGATGTGGTCCCTGGACTCAGTGAATTAGGTGGAGGAGGAGGAGGAGAAGGGGGGAGGAGAGAAGAAGAAGGGGAGGAAGAAGAGGAGGGATAACTAAGATGGGAGAGGCACGTATTTAGGGCAGTTTGGGGAGAGTGAGAAGGGGAGTTGAAGATGGATACAATCAAGCTACATCATCTATATGTGAAAGATTATCAAAGAATAAATAAAAATTAACTGGTTCAATTTCCTTATTTAAAGATGAGCCCGCAGCAGCCAGGGAGAGGTTGAAGCGGTTTGTTGGCTCCAGTCCACAGTCACAGCATTATATTTACTTCAGAGGTTCGTTATTAGATTATTCCTGTTTCAGACACACCTCCCCGTAATTACTTTGAGTTCATGGGCATCTCTCACCATTTTCATGAAGAGACCATCAAGCAAGCGCTTACCACACCAGTGTTTGGAAGCGAAGTTCCTGTTCAGGTCTGTGCCCACACATCGGTTGTTCTTGTGGACAGAACGGTTCTTTCTCCACATTCGGTTCTAAAGGAACCAGAGAGGGACAGGTTATCAAGCTGGACCATCTGCCATGGTCCTCTCACACAGCCCCATCTCCATCCAGGCCCCAGTCACACTTGAACTGTTAGCTTGAGCCAAATAAAAAATGATAACATCTCATGGATTTTGACTATACACGTATGAAAACTCATTTGTTTCCACTAAGCTGCTCACTGGCCTTCTTATTTAGGCCCGCCTCCTTTAAATTACTCTCATGTGCAAGCTCATTTTGAACTCCTTCAAAGAAAAGTATAATAGCGTGTATCTCAGATTGAAACTATGAGCCGGCCATGCGTTTTAGTGTTCTCTCTGTTCTCTCCACACTGTGCCTTTTTGGGTTGGGATGGGTTGACCGTTGGGTTGGTTACACTGCACAGGCTGGCATACAGAACATTATTTAGTTGAAACTGACCTCAAACTCCCAGTGATCCTCCTGCCTCAGCTTCCTAGCTGCTGGGATTACAAGCATGAGCTACTGCTACAACGATGAGCTTTTATTTTTTAAGAGTTTCTTATTTCTGAGATGCACCATGATGTGTTTATTAATAAAATGATGGTACAGTGTCTTGGATTTTCTTTAAAATAGTGTTGACAGGACATAAATGAAACACAGTGGGCCTTGAGCTGTGGGGTGGCTTGGGTCTGTAACATTCCCCAGAAGCCCAGGCGTTACAGGCTTGGCTGCCAGCCTACAGCATTATTGGGAAGAAGTGGGTTCCAGCAGAAGAAACTGAGCCCGCTGCAGGATGTGTCCTTGCAGGGGGCATTGGCTCCGCCCCCCGGCCCCGGGCCCCGACCCCCCCCCTTCCCCCGACCCCGGCGCACGCCGCACCCACACCCGTCTCACTCTTGGCTTCCCAGCCATCATTACATGAGCACTTTTTGCTTTATCATGTGCTCCCTGCCATGACCTCTTGTCACAAGCCTCATTGACTGAAGTTCCTGAAACTCTGGATCAAAACCAACCTTTCTTCCTTCTAAGCTTTTACTCTCAGGCATTTGGTCACAGCAGCAGAAAGCCAATTGTCATCACTGAGGTGGTGAGACAGATGTCTAGTGTATTGTTGTTATGCAATTACATCTGTTTTTATGGATGTTTGAAATTTCCCATAATGGAATACTTTTTTCATAGCAAAACCTCGTCACCAAGGTCCAGGATTCCACGAACCCTGCATCTCTGTATGCCCCCAAACGGGTGTGTTCTGCTTCCTTGGCTTTCACCCACCGTTTTCCATGTGTAGTCGTAGCCATCCACGTTCATCACGGGCATGACGTAGAAATCCACGTGCCTCAGGAGATTGGTATACAGCTTTTCTTTCCCATAGAACTGGGTGACCTGCGCGTTAAACCAAGGAGTTTAGTGTCTCATTTTGGGTCCTTCTAAGCTTTGCCTTGGTTTTAAATGAGTTTCCCTCTCTTAGGAACAAGTTGTATGACAGCTTTTGATATGTAGATTTAATTTGCAAGAAGAGTAACAGTTTCTTTCCTTTTTTTTTTTAAATTGGGTCTTGGGTAAATTTATTTTCAAATACTAATGAAACTGTAAACAAACACAAATAATTGATTGTAATACAAATTGACTGCTGTAACACTTGGGGATTTTTGTGTCTTGCGGCCCCCCTCACTTCTTTATTGTTTTCAAAGGACTTGAGATTTTTTCATTGAGAATTAATTACAGCTACTTAACTACAGCTGGGCTTCTGTTGACTCCCAGCAGCTTTGAAAACCTTCTCTTCGCGTCCCCACATTCTGCTCTTCTTACTTCCCTATGCCTGTGTATGGCAGGTGATTTCTCCTTGCCTCACTCACACATTCCCCTGGACATAGCATCCTTGTTCACAGAGCTACTCTGCTGCCTGCCCTCATCTGCCGTCTCCCTTCCGTAACAGAGACCTGCATGTCAATCACAATTCCTTCTGAAATCTCAGAGCATCTTGTTGTGAATACCAGCTCCTTAAAGTGACTGAACTTAGGGCACTCTGATATCACATGGGTCAACAGAGACCTTCATATTTAATGATGGCAAAAAAATTGAACCACCTATTTCTAAATTCTCCTTCAAATACCAAGAAAGGATAGCCTTTAAACCCATAAAGTTTACAACAAAGATTTTAAAAAAAAACAAAAACTCAATATAGTCTGTTCCTTTCCAATAATCCATAGTAATCAGAGCTCTTCCTAATCTTGTTTCAGAACAGTGGTTCTCAACCTATGGGTCGAGACCCCTTAGCGAGTTGAACAACCCTTTCCCAAGGGCTGCCTAAGACCATCAGGAAACACAGTTTACATTATGATTCATAGCAGTAACAAAATTATAGTTATGAAGTAGCAACAAAAGTAATTTTGTGGCTGGCGGGGGGGTCACCACATGAGGAACTGTATTAAAGGGTCACAGCTTTAGGAAGGCTGAGAACCATTGTTTTAGACCCAGACTTAATTAGATGATGATCTAACAGTCCTTCGAACTGGTCATAAATTTGTCTCCAGTTCCTTTCCCCCACATTTTGTCACGTGGCTGTGACACCGCTGGCAGTCTCGGGAGGACTTGCTCTGGGTTGCCGATACTCATCATCTGCCCCTCAGTCCTCCCCTGTTATCTCACACCAGCTTAGAGGTGCATCTTTCAGCCCGGTCCAAGGACATCCACAGAGTTCACTCCCAAATGATCAAAACCACAGGCAGCAGAACCTCAAAGAAGGTTCTCTATCTGGTTAAATCACTTCGCCTAGAAAGCTTTGGTTTGACATGGCCATACTGCAACAACATTGATACATTTTAGTTTGGGTAGAATTGTTTGTTGTCTTAAATACAAATCAAAAGGTATTGATAAGAAACAGGTTTTTCCTCATTATTAACTTT